GTGTCTCGCTTCCATATAATGCCCACCATGCAGTTGTATAATATTTTATAATTTAGAATATAGTTAAAAATTTAGGGTATAAAATAAACAATGGAACTATACATAAAGTAAGAGACAAGTAAGATTATTTTTGGGCTTTTGGCCTTTACTTGGATCTGTAGTGTTCTTATTTCGAGTGGCAATATCTCTCCCAAAGTTTCCCAAGGCTAACTTGAACTTAATCAATTCATGGCTCTGGATCTCATCCTGGATATCTTTGTCTGGCACCAACCTCTCCAGCACATCTAAGAACCCACAATTTATTACACGATCTAACTCAATGGATGGGTGCTTGTAGTGAAGAGATGGGTTTAGATAATAACCGGCTGAATGAAGGTGCATATGAAGCTGGGATTCCCATCTCCTATCAATAATTTCAAGTATAGCCTTGCGCATATTTTCATCATCTTTTAAAACATCTTTTATTTCAGTTCTTGCCCTAGTCATTGCCTCATGTATATAGCCCATGGCGAGCTTCGCATCACCATCAACCAGTCAAAGCACTCTCACTAAAGGGCGAGCCACCTCCAATGCAATAATTATTTGACTCAAAAAAGATGTATTCAGAATAATTTTTTCAGCCTTTCTCCTATCCTTATGCTTTGACCATTTGCTTTGACTCCATTGCTCGGAAGCAAACATGGTCCTCAAGGCACTTTTTTGCTTGGCTAGGCTTCGAAGAGTGAGAAATGACGTGGCAAATCTAGCAATACCTGGTCTCACTAATTCTCTCTTCTTTGTAAAAGACCTCATCATGCTTAAGACTATGGTGTGATTGTAAATAAATCCAACAACAAGCATAGCTCTTGAAATCACCCCACTAAATAAAGATGTTGTACCGATTTCCTTAAGCATAAGATTAACACAGTGCGTTGCACAAGGAGTCCAAAACATATGCTTCCTTTTCAAAGTCAAGAAATGCCCAGCTGCAGCATAGTTGGCACCATCGTCAGTGATAATTTGTACTACATTTTGCTCCCCAACAAAATCGACAATCTCATCCATCAAGCCAAATAAGTATATACCATCATGTGACTTGTCTGATGCATCAATAGACGTGACAAAAAAAGTACCTGTTGGGCAGTTAATCAAAAAATTAATGATTGCCTTTGATTTCCCATCGCACCAACCTTCACACATAATAGTGGCCCCATATTTCTCCCACCCTTCTCTCTGAGAAATCAAAATTTTATTCACATCAAATACAACATCCTTCAACAAGGGCTCCTTAACCTCATGTAGTGAAGGAGGAATAAGTCTTGGGCCATATTGCCCAATTGCCTGGACCGTACATGCAAAACTATCAAGAGTTATAGTATTAAAAAGAATGCCGGCCATGTAAATCCACTTACATACCGACTTCCTTTTTTCTTTCTTATATTTATTGTCAATTGTGGTTTGTTTTGCTTTTCACTTTCTCTCCTGAACCACAATTTCGGGGCTAGGGTTGAAAAAAGAATCCATTGATCCCTTAGAGAGAGGTGTTCTTCTCTCAGCACTACCACCAATATTTATAACCCTCTCTCTTGAGGTTGGAGTACGAGTACCCCTTTGCCTCATAGGAACTTCAGACATATCATCATCTTCATCAAATAATTACATATCATCAAGTAATTCATTTTTTTTTTTTCTCTTTATCTTTTTTCAATCTATCCAAATATTCTGTAATCTCCTTTTTTATATCATCTGTAGCTTGTGGGCATGCTCTTACATTCCTAGAAATTCCGGCTAAATGCTCTTTTTGTCAAAAAATACCACCCATATATGTATTTCCACAGAGCAAGCATGTCACACAATTTCTGTCTTTCGGATTTTTTAGTTTAGCATATTTCCAAGCCGAATCCTTTTTACTAGAAGATTGGGAAGAAGACATTGCCCCAAAAATAAGTATAACAATATTATTGTACAAGAAGGAATAAAAAGTTATCGACTCTGTGAAGTATTGCTCGATTTCTTCACGGCCTCTGAAATCCCCAATTTCTTATCACAAATTCACCTTAACATCCCCAAATCAACAATCAAAGGCATCAAATGAACATCCAAGTATCAAACAACTGCCAAATCGAAGATTTGGATGAAAAAAAAAATTTCGCCAATTTTTTTTCCTTCGATTTGATGCAAAAAAAGCCACAAAAGTGGCTGGAAATCTTCGTTTAGGGGGTATAGTAACCCCGCAAACAGTTTCCCTAAACTTTGGAACTACAAAAAGACCATTTTGCCCCTCCACGAGGGGCAAAATCGAAAAAAATTTCCACGGAAATAGATGCGGTGCGATGTGGTCTGATGCAGGATGCGGCAATGCTGCGGCCTGATGCGGTGCATATGCGGCCGCATCTGTCAAAAGCGCATATCCGCCAGTTCGCGATGCGGATGCGAGCGCATCCCGCATGATGCGGCCGCATATGCGGTGATGCGGCCGCATATGTGGCGACGCGGCCGCATATGCGGCGATACGGCCGCATTTTAAAACACTGATTGAAGAAGCATAAATCTATAAGACATTCCCATAGATCATGCAATCCAAAAGGGATCAACTGTGATCATGCGTTAGTTAATGTACGAACTAAGGTTATTCTCACTCTTGCCGTGGCTTCTAGTAACATGGTTCAGTTTATCTTATTTGGACGTATTCATTCTGTATGTGAGGCATCATGGATCGTATGTTGCTTGAAGGCATTTAAAATAACATACGGTGTTCTTATTATTGTTTGAACTTTTTTAATTGTGTTGGTAGTGGGAGCTATTGTCGGGCATGGGGTCACTGAAGGTGGTCTTGGTGGGAATCCTTTAATTGGGAGGTAAGTTTTCATTGCATGTGCATTACACGAGTTTATAATGCATTTCGCTATCAGCTCTGTTCAGCCTTCTATTTGTTATAGTTCTCTCATTTCACTAACTACCCAAACCTTTATTTATACTAGGGTGTTTCATATCTGAAAAGGCATTGATACCGCTATTGAATTGAAACTATTCATGTGCGTATGTCCATATGGTAGAGTATCTCATAAATATGCTTACAAACAAAATAAATCTTCTAGACAGTGATGCTATATGCCATAGATATAACAATTATTTTTGTGCACAGGGCTAAAAAGCCCTAAATAAATTAAAAAGAAAAATTGGAAAAATAAAAAAGGTGGTAAGTAGTAACAGTAAAATAAACCAAAAAAACTTTAAAAAGTTAAAATAGTATTCTAAAAGTACAGAAAAATGGATTAAAAAACAACTGATTTACAATTTGGGACATTTTAAAAATAAAAAAAATAAAATATAAAATAGGTATGATGGCAAAAATACACTCGCCAATCTGTGATAAAAGGGAAAAGTTTATATAAAGCCGAGGCTCTAAACAATCAAATTAGAGCCTACCTCAAAAATTTCACTAGAAGAGGTTGTTTCAAATTGATCATCTCGACATCAAGATGCATGGACATGAGAAAAAAATGGATTTCAAGTTTTGGGAATAGTGTATTTTGTAATGCATTTTTGGATCGTCAATTTTCAAGATTTTTAACTTTTCATAGGTCTATCGATCTATACTATTAAGATGAAAATATATTTTAAGGCTATCACAAAGATTTTCAATATTGAAGCCACATTTCTTGACACTATTTGAAGGTAGGCTCTAATTTGATTATTTAGAACCTAGGCTCTATACAAATCGCACCCAAAAACATTCCATTCATATTTTAAAAAATATAATACAATATTTCTACATTTTTTACAATTTTTAAAATTTTTAAAGTTTTTATATTGCCTGAATCGTACACATAACTCGGGGTTAGTCAGCCTCTCAGGCCGAGTCCTGTCACACAAATTAGATGTTATGTCATTTTCGCGGTATGGAATAGGTAAGAGTATACTATAGTTCAATGGACTACAAAACACTATGACCTAGATTTACATGTCACCCTACGGGCCAATATTGGATGAATTTTTAAAATCCTTAATTTTGTTTTATATGCCCCGAATTGTAAACATAACTCGGGGTTACTCGGCCTTGCAGGCTGAGTCCTGTCACACGAATTAGATGTTATGTCATTTTGGTGGCATGGAATAGGTAAGAGTATACTATAGTTCAATGGACTTCAAAACACTATGACCTAGAATTACATGTCACCCTACAGGCCGATCTTGGATGAATTAGATATTCGGGAGCTGCTCCTTGATCATGTGAACCACCATTTCTGTTGGGGAAGCCGTCCAGCTCGAACATGGAAAATTCAAGCTGTGGAAGATTGCAATGTTTATGTCGGCACATTAGAAACATTTATAGAGGAGAGAGAAACAATCACGCAAAAGGAGCCTTATCATGGGGGCAAAGTTGATGGTAAGGCTAGTGGGGCTGAGCCTGATACATGGGAATTAGATCTGACGTCGGAATTCCCACTTCTTTTTGTGTCACAAAAAGAGATCAGGGTCAGAGTTCCTCATTCTGAAGCTGTTGAGAAATGCACAGGTAAGAAGATTACAACCAAGCCCTTCATGAAATTTGGTGTTTGCTTATTAATCCAGTAAAGTTTAGTATTTTTCTATTAATCCACCAAAATCATGGAAACTATACCCTGTGCCTGTGGTATATAGTTTATGGTACACCTTGGGAATAACCTACCATCCGTTCCTAATGATTGATGTGTATTTTGAACTTCTGTTAATCTCCACCATCCATTTTTGTGAACAACTAGAGGTGGATGCTTCTCTGGTGTATGGTGAATCACATACCAGTGTATGGTATACTTTCCCTAAAAAATGCAATGTCTTAGTCTGGACAATTTATTGGTCTTCCCAGCCATTTTGAATTTGGAAAATTTTGCAGGATGCGCTGGACGAGGAGATATCGTTTGCCCCACATGCAATGTGGATCAAGAACCTGGGATTTACAAAGAAAATCAAATGACTGTGTGCAGTTCTTGTCATGGACGAGGTCTCATTGCCCACAAAGATGGTTCTGATACAATGTGAGTGCTTTCGTTCAAGTCTAGTAGCGAGCCCAGTCTCAAGCGTTGAGTCTAATCGAACCATTTTATGATTTTTGGTAATGTACACCATAATCCAATGAACTATGAGATACTCTATTTCGAAGGGTATCCGTGGTCCATTGATGACAAAAATGGAGATTAACCCATGTGGAACCACCTGGAACTCATCCCAGTATGATTAATCCCAATGTATTTTTGGTTTCTTTATTCCACTTTATTGATTTTTTTTGAGAAAAATTCAACTTTATTGATTTATTTTTTTGTTTTTTTGAGGGGCTATAGCTTCTTACTTCTGATGGTGTATAACCTCCATTAGAATTTTTGGACCTAGATTACACCCGCCCTGAGGGGCTATAGCTTCTTATTTCTGATGGTGTATAATCTTCATTAAAATTTTTGGACCTAGATACTTTTGAGGCATTTTCAGGACAATGGCCTTTTGTCATTTTCCATGTGAATAAATAACCACCACCATACAAAACATGGTGTTTTGTACCTTTCGGTTCAGTTGATACATATTCATTTGATGCTCTATTACAGCTACAGCTGATTTTATTTTACTCTGCTGATTATATAAATTCAATTTATTTGTGCAGATGTGTGAAATGTAATGGGAAAGGAATGCTCCCCTGTGTAACATGTAATTCTCGTGGTTTACTCAAGTGTGAGACATGCCAAGGAGAGGGCTCTCTTCTTACTCGCAACATAGTCATCGTCCGATGGTAAATTTCTATTTTACGAATGCTCAATTTTTTCAATTCATGACCGATGATGAAATTGGGTTCGATCGCATATCCTGCACTATAAACTTTGTAAACATGCTCCAAAACTCACAGCTAACAGTAATGTTCTTTATCAGTAATTTTCATTCTGCCATATGCTCCTTTCCAGCAATATTTTGCATGGAGAAGGAAAAGAGTCAGTTTTGAAAACTCTTGGTGCATGCTAATATATCACACACTAGGGGGGAAAGAGAGAGAGATTCAACTCATAAAAACAGTACAAAAATGTTGTCTTGTTCTGGTTTAGGAGGACACTCTCGACCAAAAAAGTGAGTGCTAGTCGAGGGGCTGCCTCAGTCCCAGACGAGGTCTTCCATAGAGCCAAAGGGGTTCAGCTATGCAACACTCAAGCATATCATTGTACGCCTGCCTTCTTTGCTGATTCATACTTCCTCAACAATTTTTCGTCAGAGGTTATCTCAGAGAGGGCCCAAGTTCCCCCTTCTGCTAGAGTTATATGTGAGAGGCACATAATTACGGTTGTACCCGTAACTCGCATTATCATGGCTCATCGAAGTAGGTCCTTCGGCTTCTACTTGATCGGGACAAGTCGAGAAGTTTATATTAAGGATTACCCCTACAAATGGTGTTGGGGCCTATGCCCTTGCTTCAGTTGGTTGAGGCTCTTTTGATCTCTTTTGCATGTAAATAGAGAACAGACCTCTTATTGCTGTCCTCACTTCCTTCTTGTTTATATTGTTACTTTTGTCAATGTTGTTGTTTATGTTGTCTCTTGTCAATGGTGGTTAAAGCACCTTACTGTTACTCCTAATTTCTGGTTTGCATCTATATGAATAAATGATATTTGGATGAATCTATTTATAAGTGTGTTCGAGACTTCAAAAACTATTTTGCATTAAAAGCGAAGATTTTTGCAAATACAATTTCTTCATTGGGCAAATTCCAAGATGGAGATAAATCTCAAAATTCTGCAAAATACACCATGAGTCTTTTATCTCATTTTCTCAAGTTATCTCTTGTTTAAATGCTACCATATCCAGTGCTCGAGACCACTACTCAGCCCATGTCCGATCTAAGTAATTCAACATTATTTGTGCTACTCAGTTTAGAGTGTAAGCCAGTGATGCTTTCGGCTATTGGACTCTCGCTATCTAGGACACAATACTCAATTGCTGTGCTTAGCAGCACGACGCCACAACCCTGTTTTCACAGTTAAGGCTGCTTCCATTTCGCTTGTATCTCTCTCATAACCCCGTTTTCACAGTTTAGGTGGCTCACATTTCGCTCGTCACATTTTTTGTGAGTACTGTAGCAGCCAAAAATGTTAAACAATAGAAAATACAAAAAATTGGAAATATATATCTAAAGTAATATGAAGCAAAATAAAAAAATTAAGTAAAAACATAGATTTTGAAAAATCATTTTGGTAATAGGGATGCTTTTGAAATCATCCAAAAAAAATGGAAAAATGTAAAAATAAGTGTCTGTGGCCAAAACACTTTTCAATCTTTGCCAAAATGATAAAAATCATATAAGAAAGATTTTTTTTTTATTTTTTTTGGGATTTCTCATGATTTTTCTAAATTTGTTAATATCCTCGAGTGGGACACACAATTTGGGGAAACTCAAGCTTAGTGAGCCCAAGTACTTGGCCGGAGTACTCGAAACTCAGATCGGGTTGTTAAACACTGACCATATCTACTAATAATGAGCCCGCTCTCTCTTTTTCTGTGTCTTTGGAGCCCAAGTACTCAGCCCGAGTACTTGGAACTCAGAAACACTGACCATATCTATTGTTAATGAGCTCTCTCTCTCTCTCTCATCTCTTGCAACCTCTAGGGCTGGCAATGTACCGGGTAGCCCAGCCCTGTTGGGCTGTCCCTAGAAAAGTATAGCCTGGGCCACAAAATGTGGCTGAAGGGGTGGGCTAGGGGCAGTGCTGGCCCGGTTCAACCCGACTCCCCAACCCGTTCTCCTTCTTTTTTTTTTTTTCTTTGTTGTTTTTTTCTTTTAATTTTTACTTATTTGCTTTTGGCCACGCATGGCCTGCCTTAACAGGGTTTGGGCTGGGCTTGGGCCTGCCTGATGGGGACGGGCCAAAGCTGGCCCAGCTCGTGGCCACCATTAGCAACTTCTTTCTCTCATCTTGGATGGGATAATTGGTTTTTCACCTACAAGCGTCATAAAGCTACAATCACGTTTTAAACAGTCGGCTTGGGCTCGGGACTCGGGCAAGGCCAATAGACTCGCCCAAGTAGTTTACATGCATGAAAATGCACTACAAGAAATAAAAAATATAAAATAAAAAATTCAAAAATAAATTATTAGAGGGAAAAATGGATTGAGAGAGAGAGAGAGGGGGTGGATGTCCACCTTCGTTGAAGGGAGAAATTAAAAAAAGGGAGGGAGGATTTCCACACCCTTACATGGAAATGTGTATAATGATACCACTTACCTTTGGTACAAGGTGGTCAATTAATCTTGACTGTAGGATAATTGGGTGGTTACATTTATGGAAAAATTACAAAAGCCCCAATACTACATTTTTTATGCAACTTATCTCCAACTTAATTTTTTTCTCTCACTTTTTTCTCCAAAATATATATTTTTATGTAAGGGTGTGGTTTCCATAAGGTTGCAACCATAAACAATCCAACTAAGGTGCACCTTCAAATTTTATTATAATATATGATTTTGATGTAAAACGTTCTTAGAATTATCTCAAAATCTATTTTCCTTCAAAATTTATCGTAATATAGAATTTTGATGTAAAACGTTCTTAGAATTATCTCAAAATCTATTTTTATATTTAATTATAAAATTTTAATATCAAACAATGGTTAAAATCAAGCAGATCTATAAACATATGAAAATCTTAAAAATGGACGGGGTAGATAATATGTTGTAAGATGCACTATTTCTGAGACTCAAAATCTTTTTATTTTCTATAGTCATACATCTTGTTATCGAGATGATCAATCACAAGGTTTTTCAACATTGAAATAACCTTTTTCGATGGATTTTTGAGCAGCGCCCGTAGTTCTACATTTTAAGGTTGCAATCTTATATAAACTTTTTCTTTTATGTAAATACCCCTCAACCAAATAAATAAAAAATAAAAAAGGCTTAAACTACCTTCCTTTACTTTTACTTTATCCATGCCTATCTCTCCTTTATCCCAACAAAATAGGGGCTCCGGTATTGTATAAGTGCGCTTATCCCACCAAAATAGGGGCTCTAGCATTATGTAAATACATTTATCCCACCAAAATAGGGGCTCCGGCATTGTGTAAGTGCGTTCCAGCAGTAGGGCTTCGGCACTGTGTAAAATGCGGTCCGCAGTAAGGCTTCGTCACTGTGTAAAGTGTATGTAAAGTGTGGTTCGGCAGTTGCAAAGGGCGTTTCAGCTGTAGATGTTACTAGATTCCAAGGCTCTGACACTGTGTAAAAGGCGGTCTGGTAGTTGTCTTAAAGCGGTCCGGCACTTGTGCACTGGCGATGTGCTATGGGGTCCAAAAGTCAACATCAAATCTGACCAAAATGATTTTTGTGTGCGGGGAAGTCATTTTCCTTCTAAAAATATGAATTTTTCTCTTGGGGGAGTATTTGCATGGAAAGTTTCTTTTGAGAAAAAAAGTAAGAGAAAAAGTTAAGTTGAAGGTAAATTGGATAGAAGTGTGAATTTTCCCTTGGGAGAGGTTTTTTTTTTTGGTATTTTTTTTTTATATTTATTCCATTGTGCAAGTTAAAAGTTTCAAAAAAAAAGTTTTTAAAACTTTGCGATACACCCCCTTCTCTCTTATACGTGGCGCCCATGAATCAAGGCTTACACATGGCGCTCATGAATCAAGGAGGCTCACGCTACTATCTCTTTGCATACCCAAAACCAAACCAAACCAAAAATTTCAACATAAACGAGGAAAATCAATCTTATCCGTGTCCAAAAATTCATGCATTAAAAAAAGATTCCAACCTGAAGGCCCTTACCTAAATTCTCAAAAAACAGAAAAAACCCATAAGAAAATAAAACAAAAAAAATAAAAATTTGATTTCTCCTAAATTTTATTTGCATTAGTGTCCTTCAAGACCAGCCAGAAAATATACCTTGCCTCGGTCTCATTGGTTGTGCCATGGCTCCGAGCAGGTTGAAGTGTCGGTCCCGTTGAAGTTTCTCTCAAGCCCTCTTCCACTTGGTTTTTCCGAGTTCTCTAAGGAACTCCCATCCAAATTAAGCTCTATTCTTACCAAAAAAAGTAATCGAACTGCTAGTCGAATTAGTTCAACCAGCTTTTTGAAAAAAGAAAAAACAAATATACTAATAAAATTTATCCAACTTCATTTAGATACTCGAATGGGTCAAATCCAACTTACGTGATGGGTCAAAATTGGTCAAATATTAGTTTCCGTTGGCTTTCAAATCTAGTTTTTACCTTGGATAAAATCGGTCAAAAGCATTGGTTGGCGGTTTGACCGGTTGGTCAAATAGATGCTCATTAGTTGATTGTAAAGTGGATCACAAAACTCCCATGGAAATCTTTTACCTACGGGAGTAAGAATATAGTACGATCTCATGGAGTATGCTACATTCCCTCTTGACTAGGTCCTTACCATTTTTGTCATGTCATGTCATGTCTTGGTGGTTATTATCCTCCGTCTAGGTCTATGCTTTTTCATTGGATTATTCAACACCCATTCGTATCATAGCATACTTTCCTAATTTATCATAATTTTCTGTTTTAAAATTTGATAACAGTGATATGTGAAGTATATACTATGTGTCCTCTTATGGTGTGAAATGGGATATTTATTCCGAAAACAGAAAAAGAAAAAGAACTGAAAAATTCACAGGGGGTTATTCTTTCCTCCTAGAATTCAATTTCTCTATTTTTTTTACATAGATAATAAGCAGTTTGTAAGTGTATAACCAATAGTTTATTGTTCAAATGCCAATATTTGATCAATTTGAAACACTGTTAGCCGTTCCTCTTTATGGAAATACTACTGATAGAATTATATGCAAATTTAGATCTGCCAACAATGGGAATCTTGATGCAGCTGAAAATTATTGACAGCTAACAACCGGCAAATATAACTGATTTATTTAGTCAATTTCCATTGTAATAGCTTTTGAACATTTGCTCACATCACCAATTCACAATTTGACAAAAATTTCAAATACACAAATTATTATAATTTATTATTTTAAGATTTGGCTCAACCGAAAACCATACAAAAAAAGCTCCTGAGCATAAACCTCTTAGACCACCTACAATATTTTTTAGAGAGAGAGAGAGGACAAAGGAGAAGAAGAAGAAGAAGGAAAGACGGGATACGAAACGAGTGTCAACAATCAGGCCTGCAAAATTGCTAAGTAGTCTGATCTTGTGTCTTCCAATTTTGAGACTGCATCATTCATGTTGATCCTTTCAATTGGTTGTTCCTTTGTGCACAGCAAACCAACATGAATAATCGATGACAAACATTTAAGCATTGAACTTGAATATTGTACACTTGAGCTGCTGCCATGGCCTTGGTTACCATTTTCCATCAAGAGATCCTCCTTCTGAGTATTCTTGCTCTACCCACTTTGGTACTCCTTCTGAGTATTCTTGCTCTACCCACTTTGGTACTCCTTCTGAGTATTCTTGCTCTACCCACTTTGGTAAGCTCAAACCATTAGAGAACATAGGATCAGTGGGCCTTTTCCTTGTAAAAATCTCAAATAATACCACCCCAAAGCTATAGACATCTCCTCTGGTTGTTATATTGCCCCCTGTACCATATTCTAATGGTGGTTCAAACGAACGAGTCAGTAAAATTCCTTGACAAACAATATGCCTATTCTATAGAGATGCAA